TATAGATATAGATATAGATATAGATATAGATATAGATATAGATATAGATATAGATATAGATATGAGTATAGTACAGCGTTGGAGGCAGGCGGACACCTCGAGAAAGGAAAAAGGCAAATCCACCCGCTTTGCGCTCCTCCGGGCTGCAAAGCGCGCGCGCGCGCGCGGACCTCCACGCGCCTCGCCGGAGGGAAGGTCGCCGTGATAATGGGCGCCCTCTGAGCGCAGCCACGCGCGACCTTGGCAACGGCGTTCCACAGGAGAACTCTGCGGGGGAGCCGCCATCGCCTCAGCCCGGCGTTTCTCCCGCCAGTGATGGCCAAAAGGAGGCGCGAGTCCCCGTCGGGTGGAGTCGCAGCCGAGCCAGCATGAGGAGTCGCCCTCAAAGGGGCGGCTTTTCTCAGCCATTGTGGTTGCCGCTGCTCGTAGCCCGAAACTACCAGGCGGGGGCTCCGTGGTATTAAACCCGGAGAGCCTTGGGGGAAGGGTGGTCACCACAGGTGAGCGTGAGGCCGAGCGGGAATTTGATTCGTGCCGTCCAGATTCCCCTCGTACGCTGAAGTAGAACATGAGGGGGCCGGGCACAGGGGCGGCCCTTCATGGGCCGGCAGCCAATTCGCTTGGAAACCGGGCACTTTGCCGTCTGTGGAGACTGAAAGGAGCGCTTGCTTTGTGCCCCTTCCTGTATGCCCCTATCCGATGAGTAGCCGCCCCCGCCGCCCCCAACCTTAGTTTTGCTTGGGAAGGAGAAGGGGAAAAAATGAGGGTGGAAAACCCGGACTCTTCCTCCCTCTTTCCTGCTGTGATCGGATTGCATCTGTTAAGCTAATTTCTAGTTATTTTAATTAATTTCTACGGCTGCCCATCTCAACCCAGGGTCTGGGCAGCTTACAATTCCAAAACAATAAAACCTTTAAACCCTATGAAAACAGCATAGATAGACAGACAAACGGGTAATTATCCACAGTAAAGCCAAGAGATTGTGCCCTTAACACATTAAGGGCCCCAGAAGCAGGCACATTGCCAAATTTTTAGATCCTTATGGAAGGCCAATGGGCTTTTTGATTCTCCAGACATAACGCCACATAGGATATATCTCAGTGTTTACTTTGGGTTGTAAGTAACAAAGAGACCTGCTTCATAGGTTTGTTGCGGAGAAATAGGAAGAGGGAGCATTATATATGTTTGCCTTCTTGAGTTGTTTATAAAAATAGCACATAAATAATAAATATAAATTAAATAAAGAATAATAATACATAGCTCATCAATTCTGACTGGTTCGTGAATGATTGGAGCTGGCACATTAGCTATAAATGTGCAATCTACTTGCCACAGTTCCTTTGCTGTTCTAAATATTCGACCGAAAAGCTGGTACCTTGAGAATGGTAAGGTGCTCCCTTTCATTTTTGCAGGAAATATTTGGAAAACATGATCAGATGAATTTCTCATTCTTGCCTGAAGTAATGGTGTAACCAACTTCACCTCTGAAAAATAGGCTGAAGCCAGCTTTCTCTAACATTGGTGTTTTTCAGAGGTGCACCTATCATGATTCCCATTTAGCAGCGATCTTGGGACT